CTTACGAGGAGTTGGCATTCATCAATCTGAGAGAACAGCTGCGAACGATTCAGCGGCTTACGAGCGCGTTGATGAATCCCACGTATGGTATCTTAGAAATCTACTTGAGAAGAAATTTAGGAAGATTCTTAAGAAGATCTTGGTGACTGAAGCCCAATGTTCCTTATTATCTAGGAAGACACATTTCACTCATTCAACTTGCACGGTAACTTTCAAGGAGAAAAGCATCAATCTTTGCTGCAGAGTGGACAAAGTGAAGTTCTGTGTTTGTTGACAGATTAGATTACAGGTTTTTCTTTCATTTTTTATTAATTGTTTGTCCTGTGCCTGTGACTGTAGGTGGCTATGCATTTAATAAAATCCACCCTAAAAAATGATTTTCCTGGCGCTCTTTTAAATAAACAGTGTGTGTTTGTACATGTCCTGTATGGTCGTCCTCTCCCTTTCTATAGTTAAACAACACACTGTCATTACAAATACATTCTCCACACCTCACTTTGTACAATAACACAATGGCACGGTCAATCAGTCCAACTCTAACCTTCACATGTTGACGTGAAATACAACAGAACATTTCCCCCCTTTGGCAAAAAGCATGTTTACCATTAGCACAGGGGAAGAAAAAAAAAAGTACACCAATTATTCCTCATGGCTTCAACACATGCATAAATAGTCCTTCATACATAATGCACACACTACTTAAGTGCTAGAGCCGAGGACGTGTGTGCGGATACATGCGCGTATGTCATCGTTCACATTCGTAGACACGACACGCACTACGTTCATTACACTGCGGTGGTCTGAGGCATGGCTGATGCTTTTGCACTGGTTTTATAGGTTGACGTTAAATGGGGAGCGTGGTAAGCTAATGGAAAGCTAATGCTGCTATCAGTGTGCAGAACATGCAGGCTGACACGACGCTATAGCATTCAGTATTGTATTAGAAGTCTTTGCCATGAGACTCGGTGGACTGCTTTCTACTTGTTAGGATGGATACAAAACGATCACAAAACACATTAAAATCAATACTAGCAGTAGTAAACTTGATACTCAATTGAGAAAGTAATCAATTCAGAAGAAATTGAGATCGTTTTTTGAATTATTTTGATCAATTTCAGAACGAGCGTTGCCGAGATTAACCGGTTTTACGGTAATCGGAATTATAAAAACCCACGGTAGATAAACCATAAGGATCTTAGATGACCACTTAGTTTACCACTGGTACGCAAAACTCTCCCGCAATGTGTATCATTAAGTACGGGCTGGTGAACACGGAGCAGACTCACTGGTAAATGGAAGATGGCAGGACAAGTTCCCCCAGAGTTGAATCCACCACAACTTTAGTCAGCAGTGTCGGATCACTTTGAGAATTTAAAATATGAGTAAGGTGTAGCTGTCCATCTTTCAATCATGATACAACATATTTGAAGTAATCCGTCTTTGCTGTATGTCCAAGTCAAGGTGAACAACTGCACAATTGTCAATTAAGTTGTTCAGACATAAGCACAAAACTGTCCCAAGGTGCACGTTACTGCAAAGTATTCTGCAAATGTGAAAGTTACACCTAAAGACTTGCACCTGCGCTGGGAGACGCTCTTAAAGGGACAGTACGCATGTATCCTCAGTCAACAAAACAAATGCAGACGGGTTGAGGCCGGTAACAGCCCTCTTCGCGCCGGGGTGCGGTCTTCCCGGAGTCAGGTTGTTTGGGATTGCAGCCCAAAGCGGGTGGTAAACTCCATCTGAGGCTAAATACCTTGCACGAGACGGATAGTCGACTAGTACCGTAAAGGAAAGTTGAAAAGAACTTTTTAACCTATACTACTTCTACAAAACAATTAGGCTAAAACATTCCTGAATCTGTTTTTGTATATGAACATTTTTAAACTTGCAAATGGGATTTCTACAACAATACAAAACACACCAGGTTTACCTTTTCTCGATAAACACCCAGCAGGAGACATCTTATATGCTGCATGTCCTACAAAAAGGAAGATTCTGGCAACGAAAGCTAGATTCCGGTCATTTCAGTATTGTGACATCAGCCCTACATATAAAAACACCTACTTATCGTCTGCCATTTCTTGTCAGACTCCTAAATAGACATGTTCACTTTTTAACTTGATACAATCTCTTGGACATCCATTTCAGCAGCATGGTGCCCCTCCACCCTTCAAAAAAACAAAAAAAAAACAATCTTGATTGGACATGCCATCTGAGACCGCTAACCCTTGGGAGCAAATGTCATCTAATTGGAAAGTATTGATTTCTGGAGCCGCTAGCCTCGTCCCCGGTGTCTCGCCGAGGATCCCCCTTCGCTAGCCTTGATTAGCTGTTGCCCATTAATTGCGGTGACAACTGGGATACAGTGTTTTTATAGCAACATTGATTGACTTGGGGGAAATCAGGATTATGGCTTTGACATGAGGCCCAACGATTCGATGGTAATTACATTTCTGAAGCTGGGATGAGATGGAGAGAGATGTTCGAGGAGCTGGGATTGATGAACCGGATGTTGGGACTGTTTAAAATCACGGCTCCAATAATTGTGTGTATTCTCTGAGCTCTGTGTGATGCCGTGTGGATTATTGTGATACAGTTGTATTTTTATTATTTTCATCGCACAACCCGTATGTGTCCACAGGAGGGGCAAAGAGGGAGATGACCCTATTTTTGTATTGGATCAGACTGAAATGATAAGCACTTGTACCCATATGCAGACACACTCAAATACACGCACACTCTCACACACACACACTCACACAACTGAAAATATACACACCCATATACTCAAACACACACACCACTCCCAAACACATGTGCACACACATGCATATTCAAATACACACACACACCCATACACTCAAATACACACACACCACTGCGCACTCAAATACACACAAAAACATTCAAAAACACACACAAGCACATTCAAATGCACACACACACACACACACAACTGCACACAAACACACTCAAATATACACACACACACACACCACTGCACACACAAACACACCCAAACACTCAAATACCCGCACTCGCGTACACATCATTGCACACTCAAACACACACACAACTGTACACATACACAGTACAATGGGCAAATGTCCAGACTTGTGTGTTTTTTGTTGCCGTAGTGTAATAGTTTGTATGTTTGCATTTTTACCGCTTTTACATTCTAAGAAAACGTAAACAAAATAAAAATAATAACACACACACACACACACACCTTTTTTTAGTCCTCACTAATTAACAGCTTATTAAGTGCTAAATAGTGAATCGTAACACTCATGATGGGCTCAAACACACAACCTTCTCTACCAACTAAGCTACTGTCGCTCAATGCTAAGTCTGAAAGTCAAAAAGTTGGGCCCATCATCGCCATCTATTGCCATCAGTGAGAATTACAGTCACGAATGCTAGCACGTTAAAGCATGTTACCAGTTTAGGCGCCGCCGCAGTTATATTGCTACTTGAGCCTCCAAATCCAGGACACGTTCATCGACCTAGCTGGCTTCCCACAAAACATTTCTCTTACATCTTTTTTTAAAATGTATTTCTGTTATTGATTTCAGCAGACCTCCATCTCTGTTAAAGTTTCAGGGCTCCAGCTTTTGTCTGTTTCACATGAACTTTCTCAAAAGAAACTCCAGAAAAACGTTTACATGAGAGGATGCTGTTGAAGGTAAAGCAATTTGGCTGAAGAAATGAAACTCAGAAATAATCTTCAAATGTGTCTCTCTTTCAAAACATCAATCCAATTTACCAACCAATACTAATCCCCATTATTTGGATTCAGTTTCTGGCTTTACCCAGTATGGAAATTTTTCAAGTGAAGGGACTGAATATGACATTTTTACCCTTTCAAATCTAGCCTGGTCTTATCCATCCGTACACTCCGCTCAATCATCATTTCACTGCATGTAACGTCTGGGTCTGGTCCCTGTGTTAGCGAATACAATCGGTTGATTTTCGACCGACCAATCAGCGAGCGCGGAAGGCGGGTGTTGTAGTTAGTTGTGGGTGACAGGCAGGTTGTAGTTTGGCAATGGCGAAAAATGCAATAGCAAAGTAATCCGGTCTGGTTCTATCAAGAAATTGAAGCCGGAGCAAGAGGAATGTTTGGCAAATGTAATCGCTGGAAAAAAATGCGGCGCTACTCCCCACGGGCTCCGTTAGCAGCAAAGGAGATGGCTAGACTAAATGCTAACAACTCACTCGGGCGCATTACATACGTCACTGTAAACTCAGATCCAATCGTTTCAATCTGCAAAAGAAGTAAACCCCTCCCACCTGTTAACAGAGTCAATGGAGCACCTCCAGACCTTAGTGCGAAATGTAATTTGTACTATGGTGTCGTACGACCAGGCTATCACGAATCTCACTTAACGTATTATAAATCGTGTTTTAAACTAAGTAATAACCCTGTAAGTAATGAAAGAACTATTGCCTGCGTAAAAAATAAAGGGAGACACAACATAAAAACCGACATTTCTCAGCTTTAGGCCACGTCAAAGCAAAATTAATTTGTTGTTCAGCACGATTAAAATTTTTAGAGTGATTATCGCACTTATAGTATGAATATAATCCAACAATACCCGCACTGCCGTTGCTCTCCCCTCAGTCCTCTGATCACCGACACCAAGCCCCTTCTCAGTCTTTTACCCACTTAATTTTTGGAATCAGGATATCATCAAACCACTCAATCAACTTGTGATGTATCGGTGTTTAGTGATGGCAAGGAAAGACAAGTTTATTTGTGTAGCAACCACATGTTTTAAACCATGGTTTTTGGACGTTGCCAGTGGAAGAGCCTGTCCCACAGATTTATTTTTGCATAAATCAAAAATTTTGTGTTCAGTCCTGACTCTGGGCCCCGGCTGGAGGTGATAACAGTAACACAAATCATGTCACGTGTGTTTTACAACTGTCATAACTTGCTCGAACTTGTCTAAATCCACAGCTCTGCGTAAAAATACACACCGCAAGCTTGATTTATGAGACGCCACTCGCCGCAGGGCTCCAATCACCGCGTAACTCCGGACGCCAACATCACCGCCACGTGCGTCAGAGTCAGAACGGCGAGTCCAAGGACGAGTGACATCATCCCAATGACACTCTCCCGCGGCCTGCGATGTAAACAGCCTGTGGAGCCCGGGAGGAGGTTACTTACTGTTGATTGCGGATTCATTACGGCAATTTTGGCGAACTACTTGAAAGTGACGCGCCGTTTCGGTTGCCGCGGCGAGCAGAAGTGTCGGAGTGGCGCCTGTGATCATGTCTGCCATTTTGGAGAGAGCGGGGGAGCAGAGGCTTTTTGCATGCACGTATACGATACCCTGCAATCATCATTTTGTGTCATCTTGAAGAAAAAAGAAAAAGCTTTAGGGGAACGGATGGAGGAATACAGGGGGTCGCTGTGAGACTGAGAATGTCGATACTGAAGAAAGTAACAGAAAATCATTGGAATTGCACTGCTCTGGTTCAACATCGACCAGAGGTGATTGGATCTTATCAATATGACTTTTGTTACCATGAAAAAGCTCAGATGGCAGCCGCTGATCTGTGTATGAAGTAAATCACACATGGAAATGAATGATTGTGATTATTTTAGCTCTTATGGGAACGTTTTGAAAGAAGCTCATCCCTCATAAGATTATATACACACAGTATGACATTGCATTTTTTTCATTTTCAAGCCCTTTATTGTCCATTTCTGGGTCAGGGGGGTGGCAATGAGAGCTGCCACCCAATGCTCAGTATGACAGTATGACAATTAATTATAATTAATATTTTATTCGACTGGGAGTTTGTGCTTTAATAAACAATTATGTAAATGTACCAGAGCTAAAACCAAATAGGCTGAAATCAACTCTCCTTATCTTTGTGCGTTTGTGCCGTAGAAAGGTCCAAATAAGCAACAAATACATATTGGCACTGAGGCAATTGGAACCAGCATTACAATTGCAACAACACATCATCAGTAGGGTAAAACTAACCTGTCTCACGACGATCTAATCCCCGCTCTCGTTCCCTATTAATGGATGAACAATCCAACAAAAAAGTGTTTTCTAGGACCCCTTTGTGTGTCCTAGTTTAAAACATACAAACATAAAGACAGACAGATATAATCTTCAATTTTTGCGTTACTTCTTTGCTATTGATAAGGCCGTTGCTGACCGCTGACTACTTTAAGAGATCCTTTATTCGTCCCACGGTGGGGACAGTGGGGATTGGAATGATTTAGCAGATGATTTAAAGACAGGACCAGAGAGTGATGCTTTCAGCACAGAGCCACCGGTGGGAGAGAGGTGTAGGGTCGGAGAGTGTTTGGGCCAGTGTGTTGTCAGGGTATGTGTGTGTTTTGTGTTGTCTGTCTTAAACCATTGGTGGTAGTGTTGTATAACCATTTGGGATGTACAGTTGTATGTTTGAGAATTCTACTGCGGGATATAAATCAAACAGTGTATGAGTGATGGAAGTTGGAATACGCATTTGCTTCATCCATCTCTTGTAGTTATGTGTCTGTTATATTGATGTACTGTATGTAAAAATGTGTATTGTAAAGGTCCAAAATAACAATACATAAATAGGCTGCTTCCTGTTGGACCCCGTCGCATTTACCATCTTTCTCATTCCCTGCTACTAACACAACCCCCTGCTCTCTCCCACCCCCCTCCCTCTAAACCCGCCATCCACCGCTAACCCGACTTTCATTCCTTGTTCACGCAACATGTGAGCTAACCCCTTGTCACTTTCCAGTCCAGAGCTTTTCCACCACCTTGACGGCCATTGCTCCCTCCCCCCCAGGTGGCATAATGGATTACAATCTCTCCAGCAAAAGACTGTACGTCAGGCTAAATAAACCAGGATTGGCTGCCGTGGGGGGGCCATGGACCATTCCGATATGTTCGCACCGTTGGGTCGAGGGGACGTTTGATAGCCTCTGATCATAGCTGACAGCTGTCTAACATATTTCCAAAGGGTCACTCAGAGGCCTTGATGTGTGAATAATGTCTGAATTTATCCCAACCTGCTGTTTTCCTCGTCATTTTTTATTCAGACAGGAGAGAGCGGTGCTGAAACCAGGCATCCTGCCAGATAAAGGCCACTTTTGCGGGTCAGGAATGGATTTTTGACAAATTCCCAAAAGATAACAACAATCATTCTTATATAAGTGAAGCGCCCATTCAAGATGAAATTGGCAAATGGAACGGTTCATTGAGAAAGGTTCAACCCGGATTTTTCTGCATTTTCAGCAGTGTGGTATTGATGGAACCCTCCTACGTCTTTGACCGCTGCAGTCAAAGGAAATAAGAGCAACAAAATCTATAAATGCCAAATCTAAACCGGTTCAAACTGCATCGTTAAACACAGAGGAGCTTCTTGCAAACTTGCACAAGAAAAAAAAAACAATAATAAAGGAAAAGCTCAGTAACTTAGTTGGAAGCCAGGTCTACGGCAACTTTTCGGCCATTTGACCCTTGAGCCGCTGTGTCTATACGGCAATGTGAAACGCAATCTTGGGTTACCTAAGAACTGCGTGTGTTTGTCCCAACGCAAAGATTCTTGATAAACTAAAATGTTTTAAACAAATCCGACCAAAACGGGATGTAATTTCAAAAAGGCCAACTGCGTGGCCTCGGTCCTCGTTCTACAGCCTGGGTCCTGGATGCGCAGCCCCTCTCTCAATGTTGGTCCCCCTGAAGGTTTCTTGCTGTTTTCCCACAGGATTTTTAGAGTGGTTCCTCGCCGGTGCAGGAGGGTCTAAAAACAGTGGTGATGATTCTAGGACACTCAACATAAAAAAAAAATACTGTTGTGTTTTAGGGTTATATAAAAAAAAATAGAATGACTTTTTGACTATTTAGACTTTAAGAGGCCAAAAATACATGCATGAAACTAGTCATAGATCCAAACTAGTCACCTATTTATTTATTTTTGTTTTTAATGTTATGTGCTTTAAGACTTTGAGGTCTAAATCCCCAAAATAGAGAAATTTTAGTTTAGTTTTATTCATATCCTTCAAGCACAGAGATGCATACAAAAACAACACGATACAAGAGGAAGCAGTGACCATATTGGGCGCGGCTATGCACAAAGCTAATTAGCATTCAAAGCTACATAGCACTGCTTCTAATCCAGGCCTGGCCCATTGACGGAGCTAATGCAACTTTACCTAATGGTCTTATCAATATCACTAGCCTTTCATTAGTGTGGGAGCACATCTGATTCTAATTACCATTGCATATTCCATCTAAGAGTAGCCATGATGTATTTCCACCATGTGTAAACAATTTATTTGCGAAAAGCTTTCACATGCAAGCAATGCTAATGGGCCAATCAAGAAATAAAATTATCTGTGATTTATCCGAAACAGAATGAATGGCCTGCCGTATACAGTAATATTGTTAAAAGCAAAAGGCTATTCAGCTCCGGCTTTGCATCCATTTGACTTTATGAATGGATGCAGTAATTACGTGGTAGCTGCAAAATGGACACCAAACAAAGCAGAGGTATAATTTAAAGTTTGATGGAGGTAAGAAAAAGGACATTTTGGACACAAGCCACAGAAGAGATGTTAATGGTGTTAAGGTAGAGTAGTTCATGAGTGTTTGTGGATTGGTTATTCTCCAGTTGTCATTGTTCTTACAGTTGCTTTGAGCAGTGTCAAAGGCATTCTGGTCAAACTGGGGGAACTTTTTGTTACAGGAGGTGAATGATGTTAAGATGAAGCAAGATAAGATTCTCAAACCTGTGGATGAAATAACAGACCTACGAATGCATGTGGCGGAGAAGGACAAAAAACAACCAAAGTGGAGAACTTGGAACAATCTCGAGACTCAATGATGTGATTGTGACAGGGCCCGATCATACGCCGTGAGGAGGAACTCGGCGAGCTGGAGGTTAGCTCAGCGGAACAACAGCTGACTGCTTTCCTGACGTCCAAGAACATACATGTGGACGCGGATAACATCGAGGCTTGTCACTCATTCCCCACGAAGAGTAACAACATGCCGGCTGTGATCCTGAAGTTCGGATAAGATCGCTCTCATGACCTACCAATGTCTTTCTAAACTATCACTTGATCGAAAGGTATCGCAAAAAGCCAGGTTTTTTAAGGAAGCAAAACAAAATTCAGAGAACGTGGGTTATAAACTGTAAAGTTTACATCGGACTTAATGGATCACCTGAAGAAGCGAGAGTGTTGGTCATTAGAGACAAACAGGAGCTTAATACATATTAATAAATGTGTGGTCAATGGGTTAAAAACAAATACAAATTAAAACTAAAATAGTGACATCCAATCCGTCTTCACTTGTTACAGATTGTATTGTATTAATTCAGCAAAGGATTATAGACTCATGGAGCTGAAATCCTCTGATTATACTGAGCATATTTCATTAGACTTGGAAGATCAACCAGACCCTGACAATCTATTTCTATCATCTGACTCAATTAACTGCAAATACTACACTGAAAATGATTACTCTGTCAAATCAGAAAGAAAATTCTCAATTATCAGCTTTAATAGTATGCACATTTTGATATCATCAAAGATTACTTAAAACGAATCCCTTTAGTATTATAGCTATCTCGGAAACATGCTTTAATTAAATGAAAGGAATTGATTTTGAATTAAATGATTATAAACTAAACTATGTTAACGGATTAAATAAAGCAGGAGGAGGAGTTGCAATATGTGTCCATAACAAATATAAATTTAAGATACTAGAGGACATGACAGTTACAATAAATGATTGAAATGAATGCATACCAATAGATCCATGAAAAGAAGAAAAACATCATAGGACAAATTGTAGAAATAAAAGCAGTTTACTAAATAAACATTAGCTGCAACCCACACCTTTTTCTTCTTTCTGCTGCACTCATAATCGCTACTATATATAAAAAAAACTCACCGGTGTGTTCAGCGTTTTGTTTCCGTCATCAACGTGTGGAGATAATGAAAAATATTTGAACTCTGGTCTGTAAAAATGCGCTAAATCAATAAAAATTACGTACTTTCTTTCCACTTGGCGCTACAACAACACTTTCTAACACATACCAAATCAGATATCAGTCTCCAAATCAACGGCTGGTTCCTGGACGTTCTCTCGTGAAATAAAGTTGGCTGGATGACACCGGGAATCTGTGTTTGTGATCCCAAATACGTCTTTGTTTTAGCGAGGCACAGGGCCACACAACATGACTGTAGGGTCCAAACAGTGAAGCCGTGTAGTTGACGCTCTCAAACCATAATCCATAGTGGATAAAGTGAGTGAATTAATCCATGGAACAGTAAGATGCAATTAAAACCTCTTCACTGAGTATTCACACAAAAAAACACATACCGGACAAAAAGGAAAGGGGCATAAAAGACGTGGAGAGAGTATAGCGAGAGAGAGAGGTCAAAAAACTGTGTGGCTCCACTCCACACTCCACGCTTTCCCCTGGCACACCTGCACCTTACCAAGCCTGGGGCCGGGACTGAGAAAAAAATATAAAATACATATTAAATCAAAATGAATCCATGCTTATCTTTAGCAATAATGACTAACAAAATAGTCAACTAAATTAGATGGAAAATATTCAAATTAAATCAATTGCCAAATAAACACAATTCTAATCTAATCACAAAAATATTGCATTTCAATCAAATAATGTTACAAACAAAATAGAAATGTATCAAAATATAATCAAAACAACAATGACAGAAACGGCCGCAATCGTCCCGGGGGCCGTAGTTTGGACATGCCGGCTCAGACGGAACAATAACAGACAGTCTTGAGGTTAAACCGCCAAAAGTCGTCGTAAGAAAGCGTTTGTAGAAGCTTGGCCTTATAAACTTTAACCTGCGTTTTTACCAGACCCTGCAAAGGACATCTCTGCTCCCTCCCCCCACCGAGAGAGACCACAGCGGCGTCCGTGATGATGATGATGATGAAGCTAACAAGGGGCTGGATGCTGGATGGCGAGCGAACACGCCGATGGGGGGCGGGGAGTGTGTGTTTTTTGCTGTGTGTGATTGTGCGAGGACAGAGCTGGCAGAAGATGTCCTCGACACAGTGATTAATTCTTGGCCCGTCGTGATTTATTGCCTCGCCACCGCTGTTTTGTAGGTCACTTTGGTGCCACATCACTCAAAGCTGCGCAAACAAACGGCGGGGAGATATCAGCGTACCGTAAAGGAGGACGCATGTGTTGTGGACTGTGTTGTTTTTTTTTTCTATGCGGTGTTTGCGGCCTGTTGCTGTGGCCGGAAATCAGACGCTGGATAATGCAGTGGTGAACGCGAGCCTGAAGACAGAAGCAGGGAAATGTCTCGGTTGGAGGAGTTTGTCTGAGGGGGAGGTTAGAGCAAAAGGACTGTGCGAATCTCATTATTTGTGTCTGGGAGATTGGATCAGAAGCTACATTCACACATTTATTTACATTTATGGACATTGGTCTCTGACCCTCATGGACCAATGGCTCTATGTTTTTGTTATCACCGAATTCCTTGCGTTTGAACTGTTTGATTCTCTAAACGGCGCTGCCAGATCGACTTCTGTGTAAAGTCCACCGAGAAAACTACTGTTGTGATTTAGAGCGATACAAAAATACATTACATTACATTAATTGATTTTGGTTTCAATAAATTGCTTATTATAGCCATGGCTGTAAGTGTTGTAGTGTTTCACGTGTTGATTGTGTACACATGAAACTTTGCGCCAAATACAGTAGATATAGATACTTTATTGATTCCCATAGGAGAAATTCAGGAAAAATTTATGTCCAGTAGCAGCAGATAATCTGTCATTCACTAGTCACTTTACCTGTTGTTATTATTACTGATGTTTATTCTGCTCATATTCTCCGCTGCTAAGGTACAAAATATACTCCTGAACCGAGTGCAATTATAGCTCCGAAGTTTATTTTATTTTGTTCTATTTTACCATTTTATTTGGGCTGGAAGGTTGTGAGTTCGAACCCACCTACTCCAACTGCTCCCATTAATGTCTGCTGTCGCTGTGTCCTTGGGCAAGACACTTAACCCCACATTGCCTGAAGCTCACGCTGAAAGACCAAAGCTGTGGCACCACTGATGTAGCCGCCATCTTCCTGTGGACTCACCACCTGCAGAGGATCAGAGGGACTGGTGCTGTGAGCACTGGGGGGCAGCTCTAATTGCCCCCCCCTCCCCTCTGACCCAGAAATGGACTCATAAAGGGGTAGAAAATGAATGAATTAATGAATTAATAAATTCATGTCTATTTGAAGTGTGCAGTCTGAGTCTTATTTACTTTTTTCTCTGCCGTAATGTGCACAACGATGACACTGACATTTCTCCACCGTGAGAAGAATAAAGGAATATCTGATCTTAACTTATCTTGAAAATAAAAATAAAACAAAATGTATCATTCTAAGACAGCTGCAACAGTCCTTTGGGTCACAGCAGCAAAGGTAGAGCTGCTGCTTGGTTTAGACCATTTTCTCTGCACTGGTCCAAAGTAAAATGCTAAATTCTTCATTTGTATTTTTCAAAAAGTTAGCATTCTTCCAGAAGATTTTTGCCTGATCCACTTGGTTCGGACCATGAATCCTCTCTGCGCTGGTCTGGACCAATGTAAAACCATGAACACTGTACGGCAGCAACATCTCCGGCAGAAAAAAAAGCTACAAAAAAACAATTTTAAAACACAAAACAACAACTGTTTCAGAGACACTTAGGACTCGCGGCCGTGCTCTGACCAATCAGAGCTGCCGATCAGAGCAGAGCAAGAGCAGGGGCCAGTTTTTGTGGCAGTAAATTGTGGATTTAAAGAATACTGAAAGATTTAACAAGAAATAAAGTTATCCGACATGTTCTCTGTCAGCTGAGGTCCAGTTGTTTTAATTTACATCGAGTTTTGTGGAAGATTTTTCTGGGTAACACATGCATTTAGTCTGCAGTACCGTGGGCGCCCCCTTTGTCCGTGGGTGGGACAGCGACAGCGACAAGCTAGTAATAACCTATCCAGATGTTATTCTAGATCCGTGAAAACCGCCTACTGCTTTCTGCCACCTTTGTAGCCATATGTAGCTGTCCCACTAGCTCCTACTCAGAAGAACATAACATAGACCTAAATTCAGTTTTAAATTTGTAAAAGAAATGCAAATATAATCAATCGTTCAGACTGTTTTCTCTGATGATTCAACTGCACAGCATTTAAAATCCGCTCTCTTTTGTTGTTCTCTTGATAAAAGAAATACAAATTAAAAAAAACAGCTTCTTTGGCAAACATTTGGGGAATAAACAAATAAAAAACAGGCCTTGATGTAAAGTTTGGCGCAGACGGGTGTGTAATAAAACTTCAAGTTTTTAATGCCTGCGTGTCGCCCAAGGTCGAGCGGTAATTAAACATCTTTACAATGTCCCTGCCCTTACATCTTGTGAGCCAGTTAATTGTGTAATTATTGCAATCTCACCTTTAAGCCGCGGCCCACCGCTCTGCTCAGAACCATTGTAGATAAACCATGTGAGAGCTGTGGCATTGTTTTATGATGATAAAAAAACAAGAAGAAGGACTTCATACGTTTGATTTTGTTGAAAAAAAGCAAAGAAAGGAATGAGTGAAATGAGCCCAGAGTAACGGCCAATGGTTCTGTTGCATGTTGCACAGGCAGAACATGCAAACGTCACATGGAAAGGCCCAGTCATGGAGGTGGAATTCAACCCAGAATTTTTTATTGAGAAGGGAGAGGGCTAACCACTTTGCCATGTGAAATCCATACATTAGTTAGAATTAGCCTTTAAACAAACCATATGTTTGGGCGTAGCATGGCAGAGTGGTTAGCCCCTCTTATCTTTCCATTTGTTTTTTCATTACAAACATGCACCGGCTATACAAACAATTATTCACAGTGAAAAGATTAAGAAAAGATTAAAATAGGAGTAAGAAAACCTGTGCATGGTTTGAAAAGGGATTGGTCGAAGCAAAATTGTAATCCCATCCTCCCTGCGCCATTCAAACAAACAAAAAATATGATCAAAACCGTAGAAAACTCTCCAACACATGAC